ATGTATGATGAGATTTCAGAATCTTTTCAGTGGTTGTTCGAAACATTTCTTAGAGCAATGTCTGGAAAAACACCAAAAACTCTTTTTACAGATCAACATGCTGCTATGAGTAAGGCCATCTCATTCGCCATGCCTGTAGTTCATCATAGGTTGTGTGTTTGGTACATGGAACAAAATGCTGCAAAAACACCTCAATCAAGTTTAGAAAAGGTACGCTTCTTTCCGTGGTGATTTTAGAAAATGCATTTACGAGTATAAGGATGAAGGAGAATTTATAAATGCTTGGACTGCTATGCTTGATGAATATAATCTTCATGAAAATGAATGGTTGCAAGGAATATATGCTTTGAGAGAAAAATTATTTGCAACATATAGAAAGCAAACCTTTTCCGGTGGCATGAGTAGCACACAATTAAATGAGAGTTTGAATAGTGAATTAAAGAATTATTTGCAGTCTGATTATAATTTGGTACAGTTTTTTAAGCATTATAATAGAGCAATTGAGGACAAAAGATATAATGAGCTGCAAGATACATGTGATGCATCACAACGGTTGCCAGTATTAAAAGCAAAGGTGCCAATTTTGTTTCATGCTAGAGAGGTATATACACCAAATATTTTTTCGAAGTTTCAAGATGAATATATGAAATCTTTAATAATTAAAGAGAATAGATGTGAGGAAAATAACTTTCCCATCATGTATAAGGTTAGCAAGTATGGGCACACTCGAGAGCATATTGTCATGGTGACAGAGGCAGATCATATATCTTGTACTTGCATGAAGTTTGAGTCTATGGGTAAAATTTGTTGCCATACAATAAAAATTCTTGATGTGACAAGAGGAGTGAATAAAATTCCAGATGAGTATATTTTGAAAAGATGGACAAAAACTGCAAAAACCGTAAATATTAAAGAAATTGATGGGCAAGATATACAGATCAAGGATTCAAAGCTAATCGTTGTGAATCGTTATATAATCCTTTGTCCTATATTTGTTAAAATGATAGCTAAATCTTCTGAAACATATGAAGGCTATAAGCTAGCGGCAACATGTGTAAATGAGTTAAGTGCAAGATTGAAACAAATTATGGAGGTGACAGCTCCATCTCTCCATACTACTGGTTTAACGAGAGATTTACCAGAAGAAAATATTGATAGAGATCTCCTCTCACGAGCCAAAAGTTTTAAAAAGAAAGATAATACAAAACGTCTGAAAAAGAGGATCAAAACTTCTCTTGAAGAGAACTCAAAGAGTAAAAAAGCTTGAGGAAAGAAGTCAGATTCTATTAATCAAGATGGATCTACAGTTAATGATATAACTAAAATTGATTAACGAAATTGTATCAACCAGGTATATCATATTTTATTTCAGTTCATAATTCGAATATTTTATATTAACCAACTATTATAATGTTACACAATTATAATATTTCTTATATTTATTCGTAGGATTCAACAAGAGATGAGAATTTCTTTTACAATTCTAATTTAAGTGCCTCTCAAAGTATGGCTTGTGCCAACTTATCCCAGCATTCCGAGTTTTCAAGGAGGGTTTCCGTGGAGATGATAAACGAAAACATCAAGCTAAAAATTCACGAAAAGAGACTAGAAGAGGATATCAAGCTCATATTGTTGTTACTCGCCAATCTGTTGGAAAGTACCATATTACTAAGGTTGAGTTAGAACATAACCATCCTCTCGTTCCACCGACAATGATTCACATGTTGCCATCTCACAGAAATTTGAACGACGTACAAACTCATGAAATCGATTTGGCGGAGGATGCTGGATTATTTTCTAAAGGAACTTTTGATTTTATGAGTCTTCAAGCTGGTGGTCAAGCAAATTTGGGCTATACTAAGTTAGATCATAAGAACTACCTTCGAACCAAAAGGCAAAAAGCTATGGGACAAGGAGAAGCAGGTAAATTACTTGTTCAAATTGCCTAATAATTTTTTATTTAGTCTTTGGAATGTGATTTTCTCATATTAAAAATAGCACATACATACTTATTTTGGATATTTTCTTCCGGGAGTACTATTAGAATATTTTGAGAAAAAAAGAGTTGAAGATCCATCTTTCTTTTTTGTGGTACAGTTGGATGTTAATGATATGATCACACACATATTTTGGGCAGATTCTAAGATGATAATAGATTATGAGATTTTTGGAGATGTGCTTTCATTTGATACTACGTACCAGACAAATAAAGAGCATAGACCTTTGGCTAGTTTCGTTGGATTTAATAACCATAGAAAAATTATTATTTTTGGAGGTGCACTGATGTATGATGATACTTCAGAATCTTTTCAGTGGTTGTTCGAAACATTTCTTAGAGCAATGTCTGGAAAAACACCAAAAACTATTTTTACAGATCAGGATGCTGCTATGAGTAAGGCCATCTTATTCGTCATGCCTGAAGTTTATTATAGGTTGTGTGTTTGGCACATAGAACAAAATGCTGTAAAACACCTCAATCAAGTTTATAAAAGGTACGCTTCTTTCCATGGTGATTTTAGAAAATGCATTTACGAGTATGAGGATGAAGGAGAATTTATAAATGTTTGGACTGCTATGCTTGATGAATATAATCTTCATGAAAATGAATGGTTGCAAGGAATATATGCTTTGAGAGAAAAATTATTTGCAACATATAGAAAGCAAACCTTTTCCGGTTGCATGAATAGCACACAATTAAGTGAGAGTTTGAATAGTGAATTAAAGGATTATTTGCAGTCTGATTATAATTTGGTACAGTTTTTTAAACATTATGATAGAGCAATTGAGGACAAAAGATATAAAGAGCTGCAAGATACATGTGATGCATCACAACGGTTGCCATTATAAAAAGCAAAGGTGCCAATTTTGTTTCATGCTAGAGAGGTATATACACCAAATATTTTTTCGAAGTTTCAAGATGAATATATGAAGTCTTTAATAATTAAAGAGATTGGATGTGAGGAAAATCATTTTCCCATCATGTATTAGGTTAGCAAGTATGTGCACACTCGAGAGCATATTGTTAAGGTGACAGAGGCAGATCATATATCTTGTACTTGCATGAAGTTTGAGTCTATGGGTATACTTTGTTGTAATACAGTAAGAATTCTTGATGTGATAAGAGAAATGGATAAAATTCCACATGAGTATATTTTGAAAAGATGGACAAAAATTGCAAAAGTCGTAAATATTAAAGAAATTGATGGGCAAGATATAGAGATCAAAGATTCACGTTGTGAATCGTTATAGAATCCTTTGTCCTATATTTGTTAGAATGACAGCTAAAGCTTCTGAAACAGATGAAGGCTATAAGCTAGCAGCAACATGTGTAAATGAGTTAAGTGCAAGATTGAAACAAATTATGGAGGTGACAGCTCCATCTCTCCATACTACTAGTTCAACGAGAGATTTGCCAGAAGAAAATAATGACAGAGATCTCCTCTCATGAGCCAAAAGTTTTAAAAAGAAAGATAACACAAAACGTTTGAAAAAGAGGATCAAAACTTCTCTTGAAGC